CCTTCCCATCTCCTTCCTCAGTAAGGAACTTACTGCCATCACCATGTCAAGGTGGCAAAATGATTGGGACAGTAGCCACACAGGTCGGAATACCCACAACTTCCTCCCAGATGTCTATAGTAGGTTTCGCCTCACTTACCTGAGTACGACCCATACTATAACGCAGATTCTCACTGCTCACGGCAATTTCAAGTGCTACCTACATCGCTTCCTAAAAAAGGGAAATGGACTTTGCGACTGCCAAGTAAAAGAGAGGGATGACCCTTTCCACATCATATTCACTTGTACCAAATTCAATCAGTATCGTCAACAACTAAGAGACCTGACTACCCAAAAAGGGCACAACTGGCCCTGCCACCTCAGTGCATTCCTCGAGGACAAGGACACATACACCAATTTCGTCAAATTCATCAACAACCTAAACTTAGCAGACTATCACACCACAATTGCTACTCAAGACAAAATGCCAGCTAACTCTCCAAATAGGCACAGCCAGCCTCCATAACTCCAGGACCCAAGGACAACAACAAAGTGCCGCATTCTTCTAGGACTTAATCTGATTCCTCCATAAGGGTGTTTCTACTTCCTTGTATCACTCTTCAACACCCATCTTTTGCCTTCAATCTTAATGTAAGTCCAATCACGGCGCCAATTATCGTTTAGGTGTATCATCTATCAGTCACTATGTACATACATCATAAATGTAATTTTGTAATTCTTTGTTTTAATAAACAAATCCCAGCTGGCACCCCTCCTCCTCTTCCCCCTTCTTTTCCATTCCATATTCCTTTTATCCCTCCCCTCCTTTCCTTATTCCACCTCCAGACCTCTCCTTTTCCTTTCTCCTTCTAGGGCTATACCTCTGAGTAAGGCCTTACTCCCCCTTTTACCAACTGAGGATGAGCATTAAATACATTCAAAAACATTAGCATTTTAAGTTAATAAATTTCTGGAAAAATAAGGTATGAAATTGTTTACTGGAATAGGTTATATTTCAATTTTAAATTACAATTACAAACTCATCAAACAATTTTTCCTTTGTTTAAAGTCATTAAGAGCATCTTTAGAAGATATGAAATATCCTTTGTGTGGCATAAATAATCATCTGCCAATACAGTTTATCTCAAATCATCAAATAAACATATACCATATTTTTGAGTTTATAAGAGCATGCTCTTACAGATGGGGCAAAATCAGCACTGTATTTCACAAAGTACCTAATAAACTTCATTATTTAAAAAAATCTTTTATAATCTCTGAAGTATTTTTTTATTTTGGCTTTTTATTAATATATTTAATAATGGTTATCACGAGATGCCACTGAATAGTTACTGTACGAGTATATTTACATTTAATTTATAATTATGCAGCTGTTTAGTGCTCTTATAAGCCATAACAAGTTGGCACACAAAAGAGTGTTCTCTAAAGATTAGTTCACACTGAGTGAAAAACAGAGCAAATAACTGGTCAAACATGACTCGTTTGACAGGTTATTCGCTCTGTTTTTTGCTTTCACCAGAGAATCGCGCTTAGTGTGAACTAAGCTTTAGAAGCAAGGCATGCTCTTTTAACTTAAGCAGGATATGAGTTTGAAAATCAAAAAAACAAGCAATTTTCACATATAAAAGTATGCTCTTGTTTGTGCAGAAATACAGTATGCATATCTTGCCTTCAGTGCTCTCCTGTTCATTTTCTTTATATTCAATTCACAATATAATTGATATTATTAAACCCTTCCATTTGAATTTATCTTGAAAGATAATATTAATAGATTTCTGATAATTATCCCTACATATCCATGTAATGATGACATTTCAGAGAACTTTGATGATTAAGACACAATGCAATAATTGCAATAAATTGCTATAAACGCATTTCTCTTTCCATCACTATAAAGTGAATTTTGATAACTAAAAATAATTATGTATATTTACAATGAAAGACCTAGCTTGAAGGTGCAATGTTTGTTTTGTTTACTTACAACAACAGCATTACTTTCTATCATTTTCTAATGAAATTCAAACTAAAGACATTATCATTATAATTTTGGTTTATATGCTTTATTTTATATTACTTAAAATGGTATTCAAATAAAACTTAAAATATTATTTAATAACTTTTGAGTTAGAAAACAATAAAATAAATTTTTGCATCATTTTTTAAACAGTAATTATATGAGCAAAACAGAATTTCAGCATTCTGTTAGATAGACTGACCATTACAATCAGTCAAGTTTTTAACATATAAGAAAACATATTTTTTTTAATGAGTTGGCTTGAAAAGACAAAATTTTTTTATGACATTGCTTTATTCATCAAATAATAATAATAATAATAATATAATAACTGTTTAAATAAATTTGAACAAATTAAACAGAAAATAATTTTAATGTCTTAATTTTAAGTGTAATGGTTTAACCTTTCCTTATTCAATATGTGGATTTTTTCATCAGGTCAAAGTGCTTACTTTCATTAGTTTGTGTACATGTCTTAATTTTAAACTTAACTCATAAAGGGTGCAAATCACTGCTGGAAAAAATAGCAAATATTGCATTGGCAGTGACATCCCTTTTAGTAAATTTTTCTGTTTTGTGATGTGAATCATAATTGCATTTTAAAATGTTGAAATTCTCTGTTAGCAAAAAATATTCAATGCCAATTGGAATAAATTTCTTGAAATAACAAAGAGATTTAAACATGGTAACTATGAAGAATATACTTTCTAATTATATTCTTATTATTACTTCTGAAATTTTCTTTTCAATAAATAAATAGACAGAGTAAGCTTAAAATGTTTGCATTTTCCAGTATTGTTACGAAGTAGTTCTATTTATAATACCATTTAATTTCAAAATTGTTACATATTAGACTATTCATCTTTGTATTAGCATTGAATTTTAAAACTGATAAAGAATCAAAGCATCAGAAGTTTATTATTCAAAGTGTATTACCAATTATCAAATTTAATCCCATCACTTGTTTTTTTTTTAAATTTTAGATATTTTGATCATGTAGCTATGGTAAATTAAAATTTCATGATATTTAATTAAGAAGACAACCATCTATGACAGAACTAAAAATTTAACTCATTTTTGATAACTGATGAAGTTCCAATTGACAGTCTTCTTAATGAGACACTGTTTTGCAAGACCATGACAAAACTGAAACATCTTCTATTGAGAACAAGACAAGACAAACATTTTCTCCCAAGACCAAGACATGACCAAGACTTCTATAACTATCAAGATATTTCACATGTAAAATCAATACCGAATTCAAAGAAACTTGTGGTTATAAAAAGGTAATTATTAAAACAACAAAACTGAATTATAAATAATGCAATAAGCTTCAAATTTAAAATGTTATTAGCATTAAAATGCATTTGCATTTCTCTTACAATCATGCCTAAAACATGTGTGATGAAATACAGAATTAATACTAAAAAATGTACTGACCAAACAGATCAGCATTAAAAGGGTTTTTATTACACTTTAAAAATCAATAATTCTAATAATAAATTTGCCATTGTGACACACTAGAAGCATACAACAAACCACTTTGAAAAAAATTCCTCCAACAGGAGCTAAGGTTGCTGCAGTGAAAAATACACAAGAAAAAAGTTTTCTTCTCACATGTTCCAGAACCAATATATAGATCACTGTTGCCAGAATACTTTTAGCACTGCTCCAATGTATGACATAAATAATTTTATTATTTAAAATTTTTTCAAAGCTTTCATTACTGAGATAAAGACTCACTTTCCAAGACCAAGACAAGACGGAGACACTCAATTTTGGTCTTGTCTCAAGATTACTAATTGGAGAACTTACCAAATTATTTCAAAATTGAAAATGTAAGATTTTTATTAACAAAGGAATTTTCACTTTATGTTTTGTCTTATCTTAAATGAATACATTTTTCATTATAAAACTTGATTTGTCAGCAACAGTCTGCTTCCAAATTTTAATAACTCCAACCTCCTCCACCCTCGCCAGCCACACCTGCAAATTCTGTCCAGTTAAAAGGAGAATTCTGCCAAAGTCCGAAGATGATAGGTTAGACCTTTCATCCCTGCCATGCCCTCATCCAATAAACATTCATGACCATTTGTAAACACTTGTGAAATTCTTTGGCCTCTTAACGAAGAAAATGGCCAAAATGCCACTAGGTCAAAGTGGTGTGGGCCATCTGGAAACATTAACCAGCTTCCTCAATTCATTCGAAGTGCCAACTGAACTATTTTTTTCACACATTTTTCATCAGTATATAGTATGTATTTATACTGGAAATTTAGCAAATTTCCACTATAAATGCATAATTCCCACTAATTACAATTTTAATTCTTTCCATGTATAATCACAAGTGATCATGAGCCTACTTCTTCGGGAGGATGACTGTAAGATTAGACAGACTGCAGATAGAACACACATACAGTATTTTGAAGGAAAACTTGGCATATCCCACTTCGAAGACCACTGATCTAGTCTATGACATATAGTACTGTACATCGCATGATTACTTAAAACTTTTTATTGGTTTTAATTATTATTTTAAAAAAAAGTAAATAGAGGCTGATTAAATTAGTTTGTTTTTTCAATTTTAAAAAGTTCATAAGTTAAAAATTATCATTCCTTTAATCTTATAATAAAACTGTTTCATTGCTTATATATTAAATATGAGTGGACCTTTAAAGCTTTTTTTTAGTCAAGTGTAATTTAAAAGTTTCATTAAAAAATTTTATTATAAATCTGAACTGTTTACTTAAGATAATGGTAGAACTATTATAAATGATATACTGTATAAAGGTTAAACAATAAATGAATATTGTCACATTTCACTCAATTCATTTTAATTAAACAACAAACTTGTACTTTGTAATTTCTTGTACAGTAATCAAATTTCTGATTGATTTGAAATTATAATTCTTTACACTGAAAATTCAATTGAAAATCAGAGCATTAGAAATGAAACATCACATTTAATGAAGATTTTAAATGTTACCTGCTAGTAATATAAAGCGATTTGTTAAAATACGACTTAAAACTCTTTTATATTTTCAAATTAGATAAATATATAAGAAAAATCAATACATTTATCATCCAAATTCAATAAATATCACGACTTAGGACGTAGAACTCATAATTTCGACTGCCATTTTAAATTCGCGACGATAAAATGACGTCATTTTGGCCTTCGCAATGTATTTCGGGACATTTTTTTCCCTCAACCGGCTTGCTCTATGGATTGAATGGAGAGGCGATTTTTTGGAGGTATTTAAAAGCATTTATTCGTAGGTATAATTTATATATTAAGTAAGGGTAAGGTGAAATTTTTAAACGTAAATCTTGTAATTTAATCTCAATGAAAAAATTTTAACCATGAAATTAATGAGAGAATCAGATGCGGCAGAGGCGAACAAACGTAACTCTGTATTGGTTAGGCTTAAAGGGAAGATGTGATAATTGACGATTCAGCTTTTTAGCCATTTTATAGTAATTCCGAGATACTTTAATGATATGTGACGATGTTTTATACACGATTTTCTATCGAAAAGAAGAGTAATTGTAGTTTAGAAGTTTACTCTTGTTAAATGTCAATAAGAGGAATTTCCAGATTGGTCACTCTGTTTCTAGATATGATTATAATAATTTGATTAAAATTTCATTCATGTTTTACATAAAAAATTAACATAATGATATCATGACACATAATCCAAATAAGATCCGAATTTCTCAATTATTTTCAAATGTAATTACATATACATAAAAATTTTCATTGCTTGTAAATAGAAATGATTATATTTATTGATGAAACATCTAAAAATAATTTAATCTAAACTTTATAAAATTAATTTCTCTTGGTAGTCATTTTATATAAATAACTACAAATAATTCATAATTTCTCAGTTATTATGCAAACAAACCTATTTTGTTAGATCTGTTACTTTTTTAATGATTAATTAATATAATATAGACATTATGTATTAAAAAAACATAAAAAAGAAACAAAATGTAATCAAACTGAAATGTATTTTGTTCAAAAATTTTTTAAAAACTAAGTGTATAATAATAAAATATCCAGATTAAATAAATTTTCAATTATATTATTGAAAACATCCAGATTTAAATAGGTTTAATAGTGGTAAGTTTGAAATAGACTTACTACTATTAAACCTATTTAATTGGTCTATTTGAAGTAAACTTACGTATTATTTTTCTTAATCACAAACATACAAGAAGAATTATCACTGTATTTTTTTTTAAATAACTTGCTATTAACAAATTTAAGATGTTTGTATTTTGTAATTAAAAAGTAGACACTAAATAATAATAATAAAAATAAAAGAAAGAATTTCAAACTTAATTTTGGATATTTATATTAGCCTAAATTTTTCAAAATGGAATTCTGCAGACCATATATATAATAGATATTTTTCATATAATTAGTATTATCTTGCATACATATAGATAAAATTTGATTCTAATCTGCAATTTATAGTTATAGTTATTCAAACATAAATATTAATACAATTTTATAATAAGAGATGGCACAATTAGTTTAGTTCCATTTTGTTATGAGAACTTAGTGAATGTGAAAATAAGACTTTTCATATTGAACTTTGGCTTAAGAACAGTGGCTATTTTAATACAGCCTTATTCTTTTCATAATTTATAATTGTACAAAATATGCATCCATGAATAAAATATAAATTCATTAGTTAGTTAAAATACTTCAAAGTATTTGTGTGTATATATATATTATGTGTATATATATATATACTCATAATATATATATAAATGAAACTTTCTTCTTATTTATTATTTATTAAAAAAAATANTAAATATGCTTATTTTTTGAGAAGAAAATTTATTGTTTCATTTCTTAAGATATCATTTTTGAAGTTTAAAAAATTAATAATTGTTTCTTTAGTTTGATTTATTGTCCATATTGCTGAAGATAATATAGAAATAAAGTAATGATGCAAGCTGTTATTTTACAAAAAAAAATTTTTTTTTTAATTTACCAATATATAGATCGATACAGGCAGCCCTCGACTTTTGCACATAATTGGTTCCTGAAAGTGTGTGCAAGTGTTGAATGTTTGAAAGAAGAGGAATGTAAAAAAATATGCACCAAAAACTGTGTTTTAAAGTATTTATTTATCAATATATATATATATATATATACATACATACATACATAATGAAGTTAACGAAGCATGTTTAAGTGCTTTCATATGTTTTCTTTATAAACTTTTTAAGAGTTAATTGAATACCACCCTTTTTTTCTTTTCTTGACAAAGATTTCTAAAACATGCTGTTTTTCTCAATCATCCTATGTACTTGAGATATAGGTTCTCTATTGGGATCACATTCTTCCATGATAGTCAAAAATTTGTCAAGATGCATGAAGGCTTCATTCATATTTTTAATTGTCAAGTCTTGGTGTTTTTATCAGCTGCTTCTTCCTCACTTTCACTGTGTATTTCATTGTTGCTCAATTAAGTATTCATTTAACAGAGGTACTGAATGAGATTCAATCAACTCATTAACATCTTCATTGTTAATGTCCAAGTTTAGTTCATTCATTAGGTTAAGTATTTCATCTGTGATAGTTTCCGTGTTTCTTCAAAATTTATAAAATCACTCATTTGTGGACATAATTGTTTCCAGGAACATTTCATTGTCAACTCTCTTACTTCACGAGTCTCCAATATTGTTTATTGCGTTCCATATATTATAGTTCTTCCAAAAATCTGTTAATGTTGGCCCATCTTCCCTGTCAGTTGTCTTGATGGCCTTAGTCATTATTGTCCTTATATAATATTGTTTAAACATAGCTATCACTGTATGGTCCATGGGCTGTATGAGACAGGTAGTATTGGTAGGAAGAAACACAGCAGTGATTTCTGGGTATAAATTCTACAGAGATTTTGGGTATCCTGGAGCATTGTCTAAGATTAATTAATTTTACTCTTATTTTTCAAAATTGAACATATCGTAGATTGTACAAACGTCCAAATTGAAGCAAAAGATTCACCATTCTCAGAACGTTTAATTATTTCCATCTTTGTCTCAGTCGTATGAAGTTTGAGTCCTTAATTTCTTTTTGTTCATATCAACACTGCAGTTTCTCCATTTCTCACTCATGTTTATCAATTTATAAGGATTTTTACTTGTTTATTTAAACATAAACAATTTACTTATTGGCAAAACACACAACATGTTGATACATGCCCTAATGCAAGACTGAAACTGTTTTGACCTCTTGCTTGGAACAACACAGTAGTGATTACAATTCCAAAAAGTCCGCTATTGTAGGAAGTAATGTGTGTCCAAGAACATAGAGCAAGCTACTGCACTTTGTACTTTGTAGTGTATGAGCGTTCTGCATAGAAGCAAAGTTTTTCATTATCGACAATAATATTTAAAAAGTTGAATTTTTAAAAATGTGTGAAATAGTGAATTGTGCAAAAGTCGAGGGCCAACTGTAGTTGAATTTATTTATGTATAAGAATGTTATTAAGGTTAAATAATCTAATACAGCAGTTCTCAAACTTTTTAGCTCTATGGTACATTTTTTTACTCAATCATTATTGCAGAATGTGAGTCTATTATATATATTGGACCAGTACCTGGTAATGAGTAACCTTTACACAAAGAATCTCAGAGCTTTTATCTGTCCATATTTACTGAATTCTTATTTAAAACATTAAGTTATGTAAATATATATTTATTAATTTGTACATGTAGTAGAATTACAAATTACAATGAATAGTATGAAAAGAAACCATTTTGGCTCGTATAGCTTGATTTATTCGTTAATTAAATTTGGTTTAATTACTTTAAAATCTCGTTTTCCTTTTTAGTAAATTATAAATTTTAAGCATAAGATCTTAAAAGTTCTTCATTTTTCACTCTCTTCGCTAGAGTGGATACTTGAAACGTGACAGAAAAAGTCCACTTCTTAGGATTAAGATCCATACAGATTCTTTTTCAACAGTTATTTTAAGTTGTTGAACTGTGAAGAAAAGGAAACTAACACATACTTTTTTATTTTTAGTTTTTCTGTAACTAAAAGTTAAAAACTCTAGAATTTCGTCTCGAAAAAATAATTGTTTTACTCAGAAAAAATTTTTTAATTTAAAATTTTTCTAATTGTGTTGTAAAACCTAGTTACTATTTTAATGTTAACGTAGTTAAATGATTCATCATTACTTCATTTTTGTACATTTAAAAAGCAATTAAACAAAATAATTTAAAATAAAATCCCTATTCTATTCTCGTGCAGCATAATTTTATTTTACGTAACAATTGTTATGAGCTTTATCTTAATTTGAATTTTAATTCATTGGGTATTTGTAGTTAATTCGAGATTTATCATGAAAATAACAAATTCCCATGATATTATACAGCTAAAGAAAAGAAACGTTGCGGAAAATTAATGTAATTAAATATTCGTTTAATTGATTTAATAATTCTGATTAAAAGTTCTCTTTAATTTAGCNCCATATTTACTGAATTCTTATTTAAAACATTAAGTTATGTAAATATATATTTATTAATTTGCTTAATGTTAATTGTAAATAACTTGACAAGTAAATACAGAAAATAAAATCATTAACAAACATCTCTGAATTTTCTAATGGTAGCTGTTTTATATGTTGATTAAGTAAACTTCTCTTCAGTCTGAAAAAAAAATTTTTTTTTGGATTGAAGAGACGTTTACTTAATCAACAAACATCTCATTATTTAGGCAATTGCTTGATGATGTTTCTATAAAATCATTACTTGTTAATCAAAATATTTATTACAAAAGTATTTTACAAACATCTTATCTTATACCTTTAACATGAGAGACATTTTTGTAATGCACATTAAATATGTTTTAATAGAATACAGCTGAATTTCCATGTTTGCTTTTGCATTCAACCTATTTCAATATTTTGCTTTGGTAAAACATACAAATAGAATAAGTGGCATCCATAGAATATACAAAAGGGGAAACACAAGCTAAAAAAAGGACATCATACACTATGCAAGAAGCTTCAGACTAATGATTCAGTGTCAGATCAGTGCTCCCACAAGATGGCACTGGTTGCAATCTGGGCTAACTTGGTCAACATATGATGAAGTTGCATGGGACAGTGGACAAAAATTATTCATTAGTTTCTTTTATCTTTTATATTTGCAGAATGGGTTGTTGATAATAGAATTTGGAGTCTTCTTGGAGAATAGGAAAAGGGCAACACAGATGATACGGGAGGCAA